GGATCTATGAATCCTTTCTCAACTCAAAGCTTTTTACAATGAGATCGATTGTTTTCATAAATTTGACAATCAAACCCCAAGGACTCCATCTTACTCTCATGGAGGTGAGGATGAGTGGGACTCTTGTTATGGTATCAAGATTTTCCAGTATCAAGAGAAGGATTGAGAGAACGAGGTTTAGAGCGAGAGGAGCGGCACTAGACAGCGGCAAGGGCACAGGCGGTGGATTCCAGGATTGGATCACAAGATTTCGGGGCAAGCTACGACTTTCTTCATTTATAATTTCCCAGAAAACTTGGAGGTGAAAGAATTATGGTACAGGTTTCAGATGTATGGAAAAGTGATAGATGTTTTTGTGCCAAAGAAGCGTGACAAATGGGGAAAGAGGTTTGGCTTTCTGTGTCTACTAAGAGTATAGAATGAAAGTCAAATGGTTAGAAGGCTGAATGAAATCTGGATAGACTCATACAAGTTGAGAGTAAAGACTGCAGAGGATAGAAGTAAAGAGAGAGTAAAAGGCATAGTTACAAGGGGTAGAACACAGCACAGAGTTGACAGATTGGTAAAACCAGGACAGTCATATGCTCAGGTGGTAAAGGGGAAGGAACAGAGGACACAAAGCTTACCAGCTTCTGTAAAAATACTGGAAGGAGAGGACATGGTTTCTACTCATCTGAAGAAAGGAACAATCTAGACGAGGCAACAGAACGAGAAGGAGAAAGTGGCATCCTGTCAAATACTAAAGGCCAAAAGAAGTATGGAGAAGGATAGGGACGCTGAGTCTCAGGAGGAAAGTATGGAATTCACACCAACACAGGATGAGCTAAAATGGCTTGAAGGGGGTATGGTGGCCATTATGAAATCCCTACCATTAATAAACGATATTCAACAGAGAATTGATGTGGATGGTGGGTTGATTACTGTATCACCAATAGGTGGAAGAAGAGTGTTGCTAACGGAAAAAGAACCAGGGTATTTGATTGAGTTTATGAATCTCAACAAAGAGTTGTTTGATTTGTGGTTTGTAGACATTAAACCATGGGACAAGGAAGTTCAGGAACGAAGCAGATTAGTATGGCTTCGTATATCTGGGATTCCATTGAAGGCATGGACTGACAGATGCTTTAAAATGATTGGAGAATCAATGGGTGAGGTCGTGATGATTCATGGTGACATAAAGACGAAGTCAATCTTGTGTGAGGGGAGAATATTAGTTATATGTTTTGCAGAGCATAAGATCGTTAAACAAGTCTCACTGAAGGTGGAAGAACAGATGTATGAAATACAGGTGATTGAGGAAGAATGGCGCTCCGACCTAGACTGGTGGCTCTCAGATGATGACTGGTAAAGTGAGTCGGCAACGAAATCGGAGTATTCATCTGAGCAAAACGAGGAAGATCAAGATTTCAGTAATGCAGAGATTTGCGCAGAAGATGATGTGAGCATGGATGAGGAGCATTCAATGCATGACAGTCTTCTGAATTCAAATTTTAAAAGTTCAGAGGAAGGAAAGGCGAGCTAGCATGCAGAAGAAGGGGACACGGACATAGAAGATGGTGCTAGTGGGCTGTCCAAGACAAATGGGCCGCTGGAGGGTAAGGAAATTGGACTAAGGAGCAAGAGTGGGCTTAGAGGGGGCTTTAGACAAGAAGAGATAAAGAGAAGTAAAAAGAAAGGGCCCAAGGAGGTTTTTGAAAGAGAGCCAGCCATTCACCGAGAGCTTGCAATTAGGGATTCGGGGAGGATGCGGAGAAGACAAATAGAAGACTGCTACCCAGAGAGCTTTGCGGAAATCCTGGCACAAGAGACACATGGGGAAATTTCAAAAACAAAGCAGCGACAGCAACAAAGAGCAGGAACTCAAACGAGTACAGTGAGCAAGGTAAATCCGGTTGTTAGTGCTTCCCTTTCTGATGGGTGTATAGCAAATAGAAATAGGTTGATTCATAGAGAGATGGCCTTGCATGAGGTGAGGACGATGATGAGCATGGGTAAGAGATTGGGCATTCAAATTCAAAATAATGAGGAGGAAGTGCAGTCCTAATTGTTGGAATTGGAGATGAGGGAGGTTGTAGGGGAGTGACAGGGGAAGTGGGGTAAAGGGTCAGGTAGTAACGAACGGGTGTGTGGGATTTTGTTTGATTAATGAAGTTGGTGTCCTTTAATGTTAGAAGCTTGGGTAGTGTATTGAAGAGAAAGGAAGTGGGTAAACTAGTGAGAATAGAACAACCGGATTTCCTATTTTTGCAAGAGACTAAGCTAGAAACAGGGGATGATGATTTATGCAGAACGATGTGGAATTCAAATGAGATTGACTGGGTGATGAAGGAATCGATAAGAGCTTTGGGTGGCTTGTTATGTATCTGGAATAAGAAGAATTTTGCTAAGACAAAAGATTTTACGGGTGATGGTTATCTGAGAATAACAGGGGAGTGGGGACTAGATAAGGTGAAATGTAATCTAGGGAATGTGTATGGCCCAAATGATAGACAGAAAAAGTTAAAGTTGTGGGATGAGTTAGAGCACATGATTATAGAAGAAGGAGGGAGATGGTTGATAGCGGGAGACTTTAAAGCCGTTAGATGTCTTGAAGAAAGAAGGGGAAGAATTGGAGAGAGCCCAAATATGAAGAAATTTGATGAATTTATCCTGGCAGCAGGTTTAGTTGATATTAAAATGGTTAATAGGCGCTTTACATGGTATAGGCCAGATGGTACAGCCATGAGCAGACTTGATAGATTTTTGATGAATGCAGAGATGTGCAGTATGGGTGGAAATTGGGTGCAACAGGGCTTGAAACGTAATATCTCTGATCATTGTGCAATTGTATTGAATTCAAGAACAACTGATTGGGGACCAAAGCCATTTTGAGTTCTGGATGCATGGCAGCTTCATCCAGATTTCAAGAAGGTAATTGAAGAAAAGTGGATCGAAATGGAAGTTGATGGATTTGCAGGATATAAATGTAAACAGAAGTTAAAAGGGCTAAAAGCATTTTTAAAGGGTTGGAATAAGGAGGTGTTTGGAAATATGGAAGCTCAGTATGAACAAGCTGTTAAACAGGTAGAGCATATGATATGAAGAATGCGGAGACTGATCTGGACGAATTCGAGATTATTCAAAGACAGGAAGGTTTTCAGAAAATGTGGGATATCATGAGGAGGAGAGAAGTGATATGGAAACAGAAATCAAGAAGCAACTAGGTGCATGTGGGAGATGCAAACACACGATTCTTTCATAGAGTAGCAAATGGTAGAAAGGCCCAAAATCATATCACAGGCTTATTGCGTGATGGTTGTTGGGTGGAAGAACCAGAACAAGTTAAGAAGGAGGTGTATAATTATTTCAACAAGTTATTTCAAGGAGACACATGGAATAGACCAAAGCCTTGCGGGGTTAGCTTCAAACAGATTTTTGCAGAGGAAAAACAATGGCTTGAACGACCATTCTCCATTGAAGAAATTGAGGAAGGGTTACGAAGCTGTGAAGGATCTAAAGCTCCGGGACCGGACGGGTACAACTTTAATTTTCTTAAATTTGCTTGGGATAATTTAAAGGAAGATTTTATGAGTTTCTTTGCAGAGTTTCACAAGAATGGTAGATTAGTTAGTGGGCTGAATTCATCTTTCTTAGCTCTAATTCCTAAGAAGTTTAATTCTATGGAATTAAAGGATTATAGACCCATTAGCTTGATCGAGTGTGTTTACAAATTGTTAACAAAAGTGTTGGCCAATAGAATTAAGGCCGTGATGCCGGGGATTATCAGTGAAACTCAATCTACTTTCTTGAGAGGACATCAATTAGTTGATGGAGTATTAGTGTTGAATGAGGTTGTGGAGGAAGTTAAGAGAAGGAAGCAGTCGGCTTTTGTTTTCAAGGCTGATTTCGCGAAGGCATATGATTGTGTGGATTGGTCATTTTTTGAATGGATGATGGATCGCTTGGGTTTTGGAATCAAATGGAGAGGTTGGATTATGGAATGCTTGTCGACTTCTAAGATTTTAGTTCTAGTTAATGGAAGCCCGACAGAGGAGTTCAAGGTTGGAAAGGGATTATGACAAGGGGATCCTTTATCCCCATTCTTATTCTTGATGATTGGAGAGGGATTAAATGGATTGGTTCAGAAAGCAGTGTTGGAGGGTATGTTTTGAGGTATAGAGATTGGCAGGAAGGGGTTAACAGTTTCTCTACTTCAATTTGCGGATGACACAGTCATTATGGGAAAGGCTGACATAGAGAATATAATCATGGTTAAAACAATTCTGCGATGGTTTGAACTAATGTCTGGTCTACAAATTAATTTCAGCAAGAGCAACATTTATGGATATAATGTTCCAACGAGATGGGTTGAAGGATCAGCAAGTATGTTGTGATGTGGAGTCGGAAAATCACCTTTTATTTATCTGGGAATGCCTGTTGATGGAAATCCAGGGAATAAGAAACTATGGGAACCAGTGATAAAAAAATTTCGTGCTAAACTTGCTGTCTGGAAAGCTGCTTCGCTGTCTTTCGGTGGTCGCCTCACTCTGCTTAACTCGGTATTTTTTACTTTACCCATTTTTTATATGTCATTATTTTTAATGCCAAATTCTGTGGTAACTGAGTTAATTCGTATTCAAAGAACTTTTTTATGGGGAGGGGGGGAGTTAAAAAAGAAGATTTCATGGGTGAAATGGGATCATGTGTGTTGCAGTAGGGTAAAAGGGGGCTTGGGGGTGCAGGATTTGCGTAGGAAAAATTGGGCACTACTGGGGAAATGGTGGCATAGATTTGGGGATGGGGTAGAGAGCCTGTGGAAAAGGGTACTAACAAAAAAATATTACGAGGGCAAATGGAAGGAGGTGGATATTAAGGCTATTGGGAATTGGAGAGTATCTAAGCTTTGGAGAGATATTATTAGTATAAGGGAGCGGTCGATGAGACTACAGAGTATGTTGGTAGAGGGGTTTAGATGGGAAGTGGGTGAAGGAAATCGGGTGGGTTTTTGGAGAGAGTGGTGGATAGGGGAAAAAAATTTAAGGGATCTATACCCAAGGCTGTACGCACTGTCTATGAATAAGGAGGGTAATATTTGTGAAATGGGGGTATGGGAAGGGGATAAATGGAGTTGGAAACTGGAATGGAAGGGGGGAGAATAGGACGAGAGAAGGATGAGGAGGAGGTGTTGTGGGAGAAGTTGGGTAATTTGCAATTAAAGAAGGGTGTTGAAGATTGTTGGAGGTGGCTACATGTTCAGATGGTAGTTAAATGGTTAAGAAGGCTTATGAATTTTTGGCCCCTTTAGAGGGTATCTTAGAGGAACAATTGTGTAAGGTTATTTGGTGCAGATTAGTACCATCCAAAGTGTCTTTCTTTGGATGGCGTTTATGTCTTGATAGGCTTCCAACTGAGTGGAACATTAGAAAGCGAGGGGTGCATTTACAGGAAGAGGAATTAATGTGCGTTTTGTGCCATAACATGATTGAGGAGGCTAATCATTTATTTAGTATGTGTAAGGAAGCATGGATTTTGTGGACAGAGGTGTTGCAGTGGTGGAACATGAAGACGGTAATGCCAAATATCGTATGAGGAGTGGTAGACATCTTTGTATACGATTTGGGTAGGGTAGTAGGGAAGGAGATGGTGCTTGTATCTTTCTTGTTGTATCATGGTATTTATGGTATTGGAAAAATGGTAAGGTATTTGATAATAAAGCTATCATCAGGGGAAGATTACTAGATATGATTCAAGCCAAATCATTTTTATGGATCAAGAATAAGGTAAATGGTTGTGCCTTTTCATTTAATGAGTGGAAGGTTAACCTTGTAGCGTGTGCTCTGTCAATGAGAAGCCACAAACAAGTAATGAAATTGTTTCATAAACAACAAAAAGAAGGCTACACTGCAGAACGGAGTGCAAGTTGGAATTTGTTTGGTGCATGAAGGCTTCATTGAGCAGGTATTTTACTATAGTGTGTTAGTTAAGCTGTAGTAAATACATACTCAACGATTTTGCGTGTCAGTGGATTTGAAAAGTGGAGGTTTTTTGATGATCAGAACAGGGAGTTATGTAGAAACGGTAAAGGAGGACATAAATTCGACACGGGTATAGTGTCGACACTTGATGTGGGTGTCGACACTATTGGGCAGGGTTAGTCTACTCTTGTACATTTATGTCTCTCAACTATTGATGTTTAAGGGTTTGGGGTACCCCTTTGTACTCTGTTTATCAATAAATATCATTATTTGCTGTTAAAAAAAAAAAAAAAAAAGATTTTCCAGCATCAAAGGAACTATTGTTGCTGATGAGTTCGACAATTTTCCCAATTTGAATGGAATTTGGATAAGTAAGGATAAGCGAAT